TGAATCTAAACTAAAGATATAATTCCACATTCTTAGCAAATTTATAATTTTTTCTCTCTTTCATTCCTTCTCCAGTTTCAATTTTCATATCCTGCCAGCCCTCTTTGTTTTTATTCTTACAGCATAAATTAGATCATATTTCACCAAAAATCTGGACTCCTGTCGCCACCCATGTCAGTAAGCTACTGCTGCGTAACAAAAAAAGCACTAATCTCAGTGGCATGTAGGAAGAAGCATTTATTTCTCATGTGTCTGTGGGTCTGGTAATCTAGTTCATGTGCTCGCTTCGGCAGCACATATACTGGTAATCTAGTTCAGGCTTGACTAAGCCACTCTTCTTTAAGCTTAAGGTCTGATTGGACTTGTTTTTTCACTAAGGGTTAGCCTCAGGTTTTTGGCATATGTATTTATTCTGGAGTTCAGGCTGAAGGGGTAGCAGCTACCCAGGGAATATCTTCCTTGGCAAGAGGATGAGTAGAAATCTGCAATGCTTCTTAAGGCCTCAGTCTGGAACTGACACATTTCCACTCACATCACATCATTCCAAGCAAGTCATATGGCCAAGGCCCATATCAATAAAGTGAGGGATATAAATGCTGTCCACTCTAGTGGGTGGTACCATATGATCACATGGCAAAGGAGGTGAATGTGTGAATCTAATTAAGAAAAGATGAGAAGAACTTATTATTCTGATTCTGATCTTTATAACATCCTTCCTAGGCGATCAGCTTAGCCTTTTAACTAATCTTTTTGTGTCTAGTCTTGTCCTCTATCTGTGCTCCCCTTTACAAAGTGCTACCAAGTAAACCTTCTCAAGCAGAACTATGATTATAATATACACTTTACTCAAAAATCAGAACAAGTTTCCAATGTCATACTACTTTGATTGGGACACTTTTGGCTGCTGGTAATAGAATATCCAGTTAAAAGTGACTTATACAAGGGTACTTCAGAAAGTTAGTGGAAAAATAAAATTGAAAGATAATATGAATCTTTCCATGAATGTTTTGAAGTACCTTTGTATTATTTCATATAACAAGAGATATGTAGCAAGTGTTTTAGGTTTGGTTTAAAAGTTCAGTGACATCATCAAGTCTCAGATTTTTTTGTTGCTTCTTTTTTTTTTAAAGCATGTTAGCATTTGTTCTCAGGCTTGTTGCCTCATGGTGACAAGATTGCTGCAGTAGCCCCAAGCATCATGTCATGGCAAGGTGGTCTTAAAAGCAGCAAGAAAAAGAAAGAAAGTGTCTCCTTATAAATTCCTCTTCTTTTATCAGGGAAAACAACATAGTCTTGTGGCTTCCCGAGTTATTTCCCCTGTATTTCATTGACCAGAACTATCTAATCACCCAGTGCTGCAAGGGAAGTAGAAGGTCAATAGAGATTACCTTCAGGTTCTTTGTTATGAGTGGACTCTAAAAACAAGAAAGAATCTGAGAAAGGAATGGCTGGTTGATAGGAAATCAATGGTCTCTGCACACTCTCAAGTAATTTAACCTACCTGACAAAATTTAAGATGCTTCATAACACAATCTTTATCTCCTTTTAAAGCTTAATACATCAAGATTTATCTAAATAAGAAAGAGAATGGTATTCTTGGCACAGCCATTCTTCCTATAATTCTTCCCATCACTGGTGCATTTGCTTACTCTCCTGCATCTTCCCAGAATGCCCTTTGTACCCCCCTCTTACCTGTCCAACCTAAGTCCTACTTATCCTTCAGGATTCAATTCTTCTTCTCTGAGAAGACTTCCGTGGGCACTCAAGACTGGTCTGATGCCCCACTACGTGCTCCCATCTTGCATCTGTGCTTTTCTAATTATAGCACTTTTTACAGTGAAATGTTCTTACCTGTTTACGTATATGCTGCCCCAACTAGACAAGAAACTTTTAGAGGATAGGGAATGAGTCTTGGTTGTTGTATTATCTGTGCCTTTCCTAGTTCCTAATGCTGAATAGGCACTCAGGACTTACTTTTGCAAATAACCGAATGAATGAAAGAGTAAATGCCCTAGAATACCCTTACCTCTGTTTTCTTATATGCACCTGTCGAAAACAAACCAAGATAAATAAACAAAAAAACTCTCTCCAAAATTTAATATCCACTTCATTCAAGAACCTATTTTTATTCAATGACCTCCATCTCAAAATCTCTCACTCTCTCTCTCTCTCTCTCTCTCTCTCTCTCTCTCTCACACACACACACACACACACACCCCACACCACATCTGCACTAAATGGCACAAAAAGACCTTATACTAAAGGATATCTTTCTTAGCATTCTAAGTACTTTTTATAACTTAGAGTGCTTTTTATAACACTCGCTGTTGTTTTGTATATTGTTGAGTACTTCTGTTAGCCTCTACAATATTAGAAACTTCTTGATATCTTTATTATAATTTAACATGCCTACCCACACACACACACACACACACACACACACACACACCCCACACCACATCTGCACTAAATGGCACAAAAAGACCTTATACTAAAGGATATCTTTCTTAGCATTCTAAGTACTTTTTATAACTTAGAGTGCTTTTTATAACACTCGCTGTTGTTTTGTATATTGTTGAGTACTTCTGTTAGCCTCTACAATATTAGAAACTTCTTGATATCTTTATTATAATTTAACATGCCTACCTCATTGCTGTGAAGATTGAAGATATTCAAGTATTTCTGAAATTGATTTGAATTTTGAAGTCCATTAATGGGTTTTGTAGTTTATAGCAATTCTTCCTGATTTCAATCTCTAGTCAATTGAAATCATTCGATCTGAAGTCCAGGGTTGTTTTTTTTTAATAATATTTTTATCACTATTTCTTATAGAGGTTACTCACTGTTTTGAACAAATCTTTGTTACTTCATCAAGTTTTCAAAGCAAATACCTATGTTTATTTTCCAATTCTCTATATTATATCAGTGTGTTTTGAGCTTATCTTCTTCTAGTCTCTTGGAAAAAAATGCACATTTCCATATTTGAGTATATTATTAATAGTGATTTAGCCTTAATTGCTTCCCTCAGTGATGGGTTGTCACCAGTTCAAACCATTACCTTTTCCTAAAAATGCATGAAAACTGTGACTTCCTTGAAATCTCACTGCACTTCATTTTGAATGCCCCTTTATAATAATAGAACACTTAGCATTATCTTATGCTGCATTATATCTTTTTCTTCCCACATCTACATATATTTTTAAAAATTTGAATACTTTCACTGATGATTAACAAAACGTCTTGCAATCAATCACTCAATAAATGTTTGTTGAACTTCTAGGGTATGCCAAATACTGTCTAGGCACTGAGTATCCAGTAATGAAGGGAATAAGTATGGTCCTTATTCTCCTGTATTTTGCATTCTAAGCAAGGAAAGCAACTAAGAAGTAAATGCATCAATTTAATATGTCAGTTGGAGATAAGTGTTCTAAGAAAAGTAAGTCAAGGGAGTGTGGCATGGAGAACGGAGTGCAGTGCTGCCATTTTTTAAAAGACGAGTAAAAAAGGCTCCAATAAGAACTTGTCATTCGATCAGAGACCTAGGGCAATAAGTAGTGCAGCATGCAGAGGAAATACTGAATGCAAAGTCCCTGAGGCAGAAGTGTGATTGGCAGGGATGAGAAACAGCCACATGCACAGTGGGGTTGCAGGCAAGTTCAGGGAGGAGGTGGGAGGACACAAATGAAATTAATTAGTAGAAGTTGGATCATGTCACTATAGAGACTTTGATTTCATTGTGAGCAAAATGGGAAATGCTTGGACCCACTACGTATTTGTTTCATTATCAGTAATAAACATCAAAGCTACTGAAAAAAGTTCTGAAAATGGATGGTGGTGATGGTTGCACAACGTTGTGAATGTACTTAGTACCATTAAATGGTACACTTAGAAATGGATAAAGTGATAAATTTTATGGCATGTATATTTTAACACAATTACATATAAAGAAAAATCTATGGGTGAAAACTGTGGGCCAGAATCTGTGCTGAGCTCTGGTGACTATAAGAAGATGTAGAGGATTCAGACACTCAGAATCTGCTTTGAGAGAGTATATTCCATGTATTATACATGTAAATACACAATGCAAGCCGTGTAAATCATGTTCCAAACAAGATGGTTAGGCTAGGACTCCACAGTGTGTTCTCAGAAACATTAGTCTGGAGGGAGGGTCTCTGAAAATGAAAAGATCTTTCTCAAATAAGTTTGAGAAATAATATGTTCTCCACCCCCTCATGGAGATTCACAGAGTACATTGGCATATCACAGGCTCTAAAAATATATACACATTAAAACAAACAAAAAAAAGTGTTTAACTTCATGTAACCTAACACTGCTAAACCATTTTGATCACAGGCCCTTTTTCCTGAATTACCTATGAACATCCTGAGAAACTGGTATTCCAAAGAACCTATGTCACAGGAGGCGCAAAGCCAAGGAGAAGGCATGATCTGAGCTGAGCCCTAAAGGAAAAGTGATATTTTGATTAGAGAAGAAGAAGGATATTCAAGGCAGGAGAAATGCAAAGTAGCTCACTTCAAAGTCTCCTCAAATTTGCCTCTTCAAATATCATTGAGCTGCAGAATGAATGTCTTAAATATACTGATAAAATCATAATTTTGATGACTGCTGATCAACTTTTTCTAAAACACTCAGGACACCAAAGACACTAAGGTTAATTATTTTGCGGAAGTTTTCTAATTCCTTGTCATTATCTTATAGACAACAAAATTAAGGCCCAGAGAGACTATAACTTACCCAGTCATCCCTGTCTAATCGATGGCAGAGTGTTAGTTTTCTTACTCTGGGGCCAGAGTCCTGTTCCATAAAGAAGGGAGTTAACGGTCTTTGTATGTCTGCCATAGACACTTTAGAATTAAAGCAAAAAATCAATTCCTATGCAAGATGAAGATTTCATCATGCAGTGGATATGGAAACAGAATCAAATTAAAGAACAACGCAAGCTTGGATTTTAATGAAGCTCATCTTTGTTTCTTTTGCAGATCAAATTTTTGGCTCCCATCTGCACACAGTGTGTGAACGTGAAAATTCCACAGTTCCACGGTTTGTAAAGCAATGCATTGAAGCTGTCGAAAAAAGAGGTGAGTAACTGAATATGCAGCAGTTCCTCCATTCCTGCACCCTCTAAACAACCAATACTCAAGTTAGCAGTGCCACTCGATTTGTCTGGGAAGCCATGCAATTAAAACTTCACTTTTGTTAATCGGTTAAGAGGATCACGTTTCTCATTAACTTCAGTTTGTTTTTATGATAGGGACATTAGTAATTCTCACTAATGTTCTTTTTTTTTAATATTTTGTCTGTCTGACATACTGTTGATTCAATTGCAAACTTCTTGTTTTGAAGCCAGTGATAAAACATTCATAAAATATCAGCACTCACTGTGTTAGAACCCTCCTAACGTTCATGCTGGTAGATGTTATGCCAGAACAATTTTTGGTAAACCCCCAACATTACCCAAGTGAAGCAAATAGCACTCCTACTTGCAGGCAGTGATATCCCATCTTCTACGTGTTTCAATTCAGTACAGAATATGGCTAACTGGCTTCCCTGGAACAATTAACAGATAAACCTCCAGTGTTAAGATGACCTTTGATTCCTCTATTTCAACATTCTGTTTTTCATCTGAAATTATTTCATCTTACTGAAGAGAACAAAACAAAACCCAATTGACTCATCGTTAAGATGACCTTTGATTCCTCTATTTCAACATTCTGTTTTTCATCTGAAATTATTTCATCTGAAGAGAACAAAACAAAACCCAATTGACTCATCATTTCTACTCTAGTCTATCTGTAGGGTGTTTTTCTTTCAAACTATGACTTCATTCATTCAAGGTCATTTTTCCTGGAAGATACATATAGTAGATGCAGAATCTTACAAAATGTATTGTATAAAAATGTGAAGCATCATCACCATCTGTTACAAGTTTACAACATATTCCCAGGATCTAGGGGGATATATATCATGTAAAAATAGAGGTGTTTTCAGAAAAAGAATTGGTGAACCTATTCCCATTTCCAGCTCCTACTCTCCTAAAACAATAGAACCAAGGGGAAAAAAATCTTTACCAAGTAATCTGCTAGGAAAAAAGCCATTTTAATTCTCTCAATGTTACCTGGCTTTATTATAGAAGCATAATAAAAATGGTCTGCAATTTCTACCTCCTGGAAATTCATACTTTAATTATGCTGTAAGGACAGCCTTGGGATCTTATTATTCCCATATCAGTAGGGAATGAGAGAATAACAAGAAGGGAAGGAGTGGGTAGGGAATGTGGATAACGAGAGTGGCTATGGGGAAAGCATATCAACACATCAGAGAGAAGAGTTGAGACTGCAGAGAGTAGAAAACAGTAAATGCAGAATGAACAGGAGGAGAGGCATCTGTGAAGCATGAAGTCAATAGGATTTTGCAGAGGAATGTGTTTTTATTGCATGGTGCAATTTCATTTAATTTTATAAGTATGTATTTTAGGAATAAATATTATTTAATAAGCACTTAAAGCCAAAATGGATCACTGAGAATATTATAATGTTATTATTTCCAATAGCTAAATTATCATTCATTCCAGGAAATCTTCATTTACTTATAAATGCTCAATACTGATGGTGTGAGCAGTGTCATATTAGATCGAAAATCCAAATAGGACATTGGGGGAAGCCACGCATAATAAGATGTGCACACATATAAAGAAGAGCTCTATACCTCTCGATTTATGTATCTACTCTAGGCAAAATCAAAAACTCTGCTAGTTGCAGCCTTGAAGTATGCAGTTACTATAATATTTTAGAGTAGAAAATGTCTATAAATATAAACTGTATCTTTTGTTCGTTTCATCTTGTCAGTGATTTTTAATAAAATAAGGCAATGTTTTTTCTGACAGGTGCAACTGTATCTGTCATCATATTTCATTGCCCCAGTGTTTACACTTACAATGAATTTGTAGATCCAGCACTAAACAGGGGCTAATCACACATATATGATTATTAAAATAATTCCTGGGCATTTTCATGAAAGTCAGAGAATTTAAAATTCCACAAAGCACTTTGGCAATGTCAGCTTAAAGAAACTCTATGAAAATGTTCAGTAAAAACTCGAAAGCACAAGATAAACCTCTCACATCATAGCAAGATTTACAAGTCTGTACTTTTGATTATATTTTTTTATGATCATTTTTTGGATTAATATTCTTACATTTATATGCCAATTCTATTTGCTCGAAATGTTGTTTTTACTAAATTCTGGCATAAACCACCACCTCAGGACAGAAATAATTTATGTGAATCTAAGTCCAATGTTTGTACAGGCTTCTGATGACATTTTATGCTGGGGTTGGTATTAGGAAGTAACATAGAAAGGTGCCAAGTCTCTCGGCACGGCTGGGACCCAGTTTATCTAGAGCCCTCCTTCTAATGGCCAGATCCTCTTCTAGCCAAGATGCTCAACTGCAGAATCATGGGAAATGCTCTGGACCAGTTATGCGAAAGGCACATTTAATGAAAGCTGTGTGTTTACTCTCCCAATCGTAGGAAAATGGCCCCTATGCTCACTAAGGTGGCACATTGGCTCCTGTAAAAAAAAGAGTTGTTTCATTCTTCTTTTCTTGATATTATTTTCCCCTTCTTTTAAAAAAAATCATCTATGAACTGTAGCTGTATCTTTTTAAATGCTTCTTACATGCTTGATTTAAAGTGAAACATTAGGAAACAATATCTCACCATTCATTCATTCAATTAGTTGCTCGTCTTACCTGCTTGCATTTGACAGAACCAAACTGTTCATACTTCTGTAGACTCCCCAGGGAAATTCTACCAAGTACTTGGCATAAGATACATTCTTTATTCATCCCTGATAAAGTGGTATTAGTTGCTCTTTAAATTTTGCTTCTCTTGGACATGCCTAGAAGAAAATCTATCCATAAGTCAAAGGTAAACCAACTTAGTGAATAACTTGTTTGTATGTTTCCTTATCTTGATTTGGTTCCCTTTATTTCTCTAAACCACCGGAGAATTCTCCCCTTCACCAACTGTTATAACTAGATTAAAGTCATTTCTGTGGTTTCCGATGTTTTCTGCTCAGCCGTGAAAATATACACATAATTTGGAGGCAAAAGTGTAAAGGAGCATGTTAGTCCGTAAGGCTCTTCCAAGTGGTCATTCTCTCTTGCCTTGCCTTCACAGTTGCAGGCCATGTATGTGAGATATCATGATTAGCCAATGAAAACCCAACTTATGTTTCTTCTTCCCAAGCAATTTCTGTGAAAATATTGGATCATTGTTCATGCTCAATACATATCCTTGGTAAAATTACCAAAAACATGAGGTCACCTGACACTTTCTTTTGAGGTCTGGAGGACAAACATACCTAGGGAGGCATTGTGATGTGTTGGGGGTATGTAGATATAAGCAGTGAGAAGTATATTTTTCACTACTTGATAGAACACTTTGTGTCCTTTATAATGACTTCAAATACATGTAGAAATTGCTTACTTAAAAATAAGGTGTGGAGCCACGGCTGATGTCTGGAATCCTGTCAACATCACCAATTGTAGCACTCTTACTCCTGTTCGTGATGCCAATTATAAAGCTAGGCAACCACGCCAGTTGTCGGGCTCTTTTACCTGCTGGTAATCCTGCACTAACTGAGCTGATTGTTGAGCTAGGGCTGGGTCTGGAGCTCCCAGATGTCGGGCTCTTTTACCTGCTGGTAATCCTGCACAGACTGGGCCGATTGTTGAGCTAGGGCCAGATCTGGAGCTCCCAGACCCCTCAAGCCCATTCACAGACTGGGTCACAAACCCTTCATACACCAGGCTGTGTCTCCAGACCCCTTCACGTGGGTCTAACCGGCCAAAAGGTCCTTGGAAGTTGTAGGTTGGAAAGCATGGCTGCACCGGGCCGATGCCTGAGGATGACACCCGCCTGCCTGCTTCACTAAAACTCTCTCTCTCTCTCTCTCTCTCTCTCTCTGAAGAACACAAGAATAGCAACCAAACTAAAAAGATACATTGGCTAGGATGACACCCGCCTGCCTGCTTCACTAAAACTCTCTCTCTCTCTCTCTCTCTCTCTCTCTCTCTAAAGAACACAAGAATAGCAACCAAACTAAAAAGATACATTGGCTCACATGTGCACTAACTACACACACACACACACACACACACAATTTGCTTACAATGGATGTGCTAAAACCACACCCAACCAGACCCAAGGTGAGGGCCCTGACCAAACTATTCTATTTTCCCAACATAAGGTCATCTGTATCTGTTAGAAGGAAGGACATAGGAGACCTGAACTATACAAAGCATATAGTCTAAACTGGTAGTAAGTAGTAAGACCTTAACTCATAGTTCTTTTTATACAAAGTATGTACCTGACTGACTACCCTTTGTGATGGTCCGCTATTTGGAAAGAAGCCTTACACAGTACATTGACACACTGTAAGCACTCAATAAGTATTGTTCGAATGAAGTAACAGACACTAAGTGTATGTCGCATTCAGGCAAGTAGCTATTGAGTACCTACTGTGTGTCCTTCCCCATGCTGCCAGCTGAGAGAATGGGTGAGATAGACATGAAACAGACACATACGAGTGTGTGAGTACCTTAGCACAAACTGTGATAAGTGCTATGAGAGAAAAGAGCAGACACTACAAGACAGAATAACCACTAGAACACTAAAAAAGCAGGAAAATTTGTGTGCTTAAGAAATACCATCATAAACCCTGAATTATAAACCCATACTTGCCTGACTTTAGCCTCCTTATAAGATGAGAGAAGTTTAATTAGCCTTATTTCCAGGTTATTTTCTTGACTCAATGTGACAATGTAATATAAGGAGTCATTTGGTGTGAGATACTTAAAAAGACATGTCTTAAATGGTAAGCCAGTCCTTTTTCTACCCAACAATACCAAAAATGTACCTTGCTGAAGCTTCTTTTATATAATAATGGTGTTAAGTAAATGAGCATATTTCTACTGTAAACATATTTTTATGCCTCCAATATGTTTTTGTTTATAAGGGAATAGGATTGATTTTTTAAAATTTTAATATAATTAAATTGTCATTCATCATTTGGA